CAGAGTTCTCCAAACGGGCTCTAAAATGTCATTGCACACTGAGTATAGGATTGTAAACGAATCGAATAATTTTGATTCAATTCGTGTTTCGAATTCGAAAATGCCGATTCGAATTCGTGTAATTAGAATACGAATACAAATCTGTTTTTATTCGAATACTTTACGAATACGAATACAAATACTATGATATTCGATTCGAGTAATATTCGAATATATTCGAATTATATATATATATATATATATATATATATATATATATATATATATATATTCATACAATATATACTACTTCTTATAAATAAATATAATTCAATATAAAAATATTAATAACGTAATATTCATGTAAATATTTTGCATATTTTAATTTAAACGTTCTTACTTTACCTGATAAAAATAGCTTAATTTAAAATTAAAATTCTCTGTTGATTTATTTATATTGACAATAAATTTGAAGTGACTTGTATAAATATATTTTGTTTCCTATGAAATATGTAATATGAAAATGAGTTAAAAGGAGCAAACTATACATCACAATTTTAAATATTTTCAAACGAATATATCAAACGAGAGTAGTCTTCCGGTCAGGTATACCTGACCGGAGCCCCGTACGGCCTCCTCCATTTGGGGGCCTTCCCGGTGGTATTTTTTGCTCAAATTTTTTGTGTAGGTTCCTCATCAAGTCTAGTTCATCCATACCAAATTTCAGCCAAAAATTCAATCGGAAAGGTCGTCAAATGATTTTTGCAAGTTAACTGGTCCGGAAAATACATATTCCGGATCAGTTAACTTGCAAAAATCATTTGACGACCTTCCCGATTGAATTTTTGGATGAAATTTGGTATGGATGAACTAGACTTGATGAGGAACCTACACAAAAAATTTGAGCAAAAAATACCATCGGGAAGGCTCCTAAATGGAGGAGGCCGGACGGGAGGAGTGGTCCGGCCTGGCCGGACCTGAATATTAGTCTATCAAACGAATCGAATACGAATATAAAATAAGATTCGAATTTTAAACGAATACGAATACGAATATTCGATAAGTTTACGAATACGAATAATATTATCAAGTATTCGGTTCGATTCGATTCGTTTACACCCCTAACTGAGTATAAGGTGTGTTTAAATTTGGTGGGCAATGAGAAACACTTATGGCCCGTTTGTTTGAAGGTTAATCTAGGTTTTTGCAGATTCAATTTTTAGTTAACCTCGTTTTTTTGTGTTCTTACAACAAGAACCTAGGTTATGACTTAACCTCACATAACTCCCGAAAACATGGAACATGTCAAATTGAAAAAACCTCCGAAGTGGGGGTTTGGAGGTTAAGTTCCCGTTCCACATAAAATAAGCGGATGACATTAGCCTGGGTTCATCTTATTTATTTCCAAACACTATTTTACGCATGAACATAAATTCACTAAAGTTAAACTAGTTTTTATTAAAGCTTATGTTTACTTTATTGCACTAAGTTTACTTAAGTTCACTTCATCCAAACAGAGCAATAAGGATATGTTTGGGAGTTGGGTTTTCGAGGGGAGGGAAGGTTGATTGGGGGGGGGGGGGGGGGGTATGATCCTCCTTTTGATGTTTGGGAGTTCAAAAAATGGAAGTTAAGGTTTTGGAAGGTTTTTGTAACCATCCAAAACCCTCTAAAGCTCAATCCCAATTTAGAGAGTTTTGAAGGATAATTAACGAAATGATAATTTAAGCTCAATTAAAAACTAATATGACTTCAATTATTTGAATTTATCATATCTCAAAGTTATTTTAATTATAATTCCTTCAAAAATTCTTTACTTCCAAATTTATTACTCCCAAACACGAAGAAGGGCTTCCTCACTCTCTCATCCCTTTCCCCTCCAACAACATACCTCGTAAGTGTATGTTTGGGAGTTTGAAAGAAAGGGAAGGGAAAGACTTTGGAGGCATGTTATTGGAGGGGAAAGGATGGGAGGATGAGGAAACTCTTCTTCGTATTTGGGAGTATTAAATTTGGAAGAAGGGAGTTTCTGTATGAATTATAATTAAAATCACTTTGAGATATGACGAATTCAAATAATTGAACTGATATTTCTTTTTAATTCAGCTTAAATTACCATTTCATTAATTATCATTCAAAACCCTACAAATTGGGGGAACTCAAAAATTGAGAATTTAGAGGGTTTTGGAAGGTCACGAAAGCCCTCCAAAATCACCCCTCCAATTTTATAAACTCTCAAACATGAAAATGAGGGTCATACACCTCCATCAACCTTCTCCTTCTCTCCCAAACTCAACTCCCAAACACACCTAAATCTCTTGAGTAGCTTTAACTTCTTTATCAAAGTCAGACATATCGAAAGAAAGCAGATTTTACTAGTACGAATGTCATGTTTCCTCTGGTAGTTTGATCATATTCCATTCATCTCGTTTTGATTGTCTTACTTTTCTTGTTTGAGTTGTCTCATATGAATGTCATGTTTCATTTTTGTAAGAAATATGTAGCCCATAACTCCATATTATCTCACTAAATTTTAATCAAATACGGATTATTAACTACAACTTTTACTCACTTTATTAGTAAACGCATCAAACTAAAAGATGTGGCAATTGATATTGATATAAAGAATAATTTAAACGTGATGATTTTCAGAAATATGGTCGGTGAAGAGAGAAAACTATGAATGAAAAATAAATCTTACTACTCATGTGTTTAATAAGCTCATGAAATCTCTAATAATGAAAACGAATAATTTCCGAACCATCTTTCTTGTTCATCGTACACCTCAGGCGAGAGTAATGAAGAAATAGTTTTTTTATAATCGTACACCTCAAACCATCGTTCGGCATAACTAAAATTTTGGGTAACTTTGGCATGTGGTAAGCATTACTTTTAAAAAATGAGGTTAAGCTGAGAAAGAATTCAAAACAGGCCAATTTTGACAAACGTGCATATAAATGGAATTAGAATTTCATGACATATTGAAGATTGCAATACCTTAATCTCATAACTAAAATGTCATTGCACACTCGGCATAAGGTGTGTTTAAATTTGGTGGGCAATGACATACGCTCAAGTCTCTTGAGTAGCTTTAACTTCTCAATCAAAGTTAGGACATATTGAGAGAAAGCAGGTTTTATTTGTACAATAGTTTGATCATATTCTCTCTATGTTATTTTGATTGTCATGTTTTGTTTATAAGAAATATGTGATCCATATTATTTCACTTTAGTCTACTCAAATCTTAATTACAATTTTTATTTTTCAATCACTTTATTATAATCATGTTAAACTAAAACAAGACATCCAATATAGGATGAAAGTAGTAAAAATTATGTATCTCTCTTTTATATGCACACATTAAGTAAGTTCTCACTAAATTTTTGACCCTATTATGGTTCAATGATACATCAACATATAGTTAAGAGACTATTTTCAAGGTTTTCACTTTCATTAAAGTGATGTAACACTCAAATTAGCTCACGTTTATCTTGGAAGTTGAGATGCACCACCTATTCACTTTTCCGTGTTAAGAAATAGAAAAGTGAAATATAAAGAATTAGTGAAAAGTGAACTTAAATCACCATATATATAGTTATATACTCCGTATCACAAAATGCATTAACAGTATAATTTTGATTTATACTTTTTATATGTTCTCTTGATTCAAGTGTTAAATAATGATGAACTTTGGTGAGCAAATGGCCTCAAAGCGCCACAACGTACAATTGTATATGCTTCAATGTACCGGAGAGCGGAGAGTACTAATTACATTCCATGTCAGAAATCATGCACAATGATCTCATGAATAGGCAAATATTATTTAGAAAATTGTAAATTTCTTAACTGACTTCGTTTTACTTTTAGCTCAAATTCGAGGAATATATTCAACTTCATATTAAAGATCGATCCGGTGCCCAAAAAGATTAAACTTCCAATTCACTTGAGCGACACAATCTTCAACATATTTGTTTAACAATCGTACCATTATTTTCATATTAGAAACAAACATGATTAGTTTTAGCATTATGTTGCTAATTTTCTTCAATGTGTGTATGATACTAATTTGTTAAATTATTTTAGATTTTTTTTGTTGCTACTCTTTTTAAGCAACAAATGTGATTATTACTCCATGTGATAATTGCCGCTATTCTAATTAGGGACATTTCCAAAATTTTGTTGGCCGACTTTCAATGGATGATTTGGCATACTCAAGTACTCAACCACAAAAAGTTATTGAAGTAGTATGATAATGACTTGATTTTAAGTTTTGGAAGGTTTAAGCGTAGTGTAATCAATTGATTTGTGTAATTGTTTAAATTTGAATTGTGAAATAGAAAATTAGGAATGCCAAATGTGATTTGTGAATTTTTTAAAATATAAATATGAAGTATATGAACTCAAATAAAATATTGATTAGTTTTTTATTTTATGGTAATTTTAGTAGGTATGGCTACTCAATCTACTTCTAAAAAGGTAAAAATCACATTGCGTTCGTTTATAAGCCTAGTACAATGAACTGCAACAACAGAAAAATCATTTTCTACAATGAAACACATGAAGAATGAAATTCGTAACAAGATGAAAGATGAATTTCTTGCCGATCGTTTGGCCATCTTTGCTGAAAAAGAATTTGCCAACAAAATCGACATTGAGTCTGTCATAGATGAGTAATGAGTTTGCTAAGGTCAAAGAGCGTCGTGTTCAGTCAACGTTTTAGTTTCAAACATTGTATGTATTGTTTAAAAATATTACTATGAATTTTAATAGATTTTAATCATTATGTACACACTATTGTCACTTTTAAAATTCTTATATAATGTTTTTAGAATTTCAGTGTACAGTTGACCCGGGTAAACATGTCCCTGACCATATAGTGATATGTCAATGAGTTCATGAAATTTCTAATAATGAAAACGATATTTTCCAAGCCATTTCTCTTGTTCATCATTTTTTACAAGTAGACACACAATTGTCCACTCATAACGGTTTTTAGTTGGATTAATTTCAATCTCTAACTACATCAAACAAAAGATCACACCAAAAAATCAGGGTCCAATTAAAAACATCCGGCTCATCCTAACGGCTCTCACTTTGCCGGCTCGCCCAAACGGCTCTCATTTTACCGGCTCGTCCAAACGGCTCTCATTTTGCCGGCTCGCCTTCTCTCGGCGACTCGCTCCTTGCCATCACTCCTGGTCTCGCACGATCGCACCTTGTCGGCTCACCGCCACGACGCCGCTGCCCCTAGCCTCCTAGACAATGAAAAAATTCAGCCTGAGGTAAAAGCTAACCCCTCTCCATTTCTTCTGCTATTCTGCAATTCTGCCTCCTGCTTGGGAGTTGTGGTTTGCCGCTTGGCTTCTTAATTCCTAGCATATTTCAATTTGTAACCTAATAGGCTGATTCCACTTTTCTTTTTAGAAAGAATGATTTTCATATCAACCATTGGTTACTGCCTCAATTATACCAGTTGGTTATCATTTATCAACCTGATTCCATTTTTCTCAGTTTACTGCCTGAAATTGCTACTTTTTTAAGGTGCCGTATTGCCTTATATATTAATTGATGCATACAAATACTAATTATTTGAGCAGGTTTGAATAAATGGTAAGTCTTAATCAATGGATATTAGGATTGAAATGTACAAGTTGTTCACGTACTAGGATTAAAATCTGTCTTACTGTCTCATATATTATGTTTTACTTCTCAATGTACTAGTTTTTTTTTTTTTTATTGAAAAGGATACAATTATTGCATTAAACAAGACTACTGTGATAATTTAAACTTAATTTAGATTTGAACACCCAAAACATATGGGCTAGATCTCCCACTGGGTGAAAGGCGATGATGAGACATTCAAAGCTTTCGTCTAGCAACAATAATAGAATCAGTTGGAGACCAACTCTTCTTCATCTGCTCCTTGCAGCGGCCATTTTCTCCATCCTTGTCTTCATCATTCAGTCCTCTATCTTCACAGGTTACCTTTTTTTACTCTTCATGTTTTGAAAGCCTTAATTTGTATTTTTGTTTGAAGAAATTCACTCTAATTCACTCTTTGGATCCAATTGTACTATTGTTTCTGTTGCAGGTCAGCACAGGGCTAATACCATCAACCCAGAGGATATTCGGATCTTATCTGATTTCCAGTCCAACCTTCAGCAATGCGTGGTTGGTCACAGATACTTTGAATAAAAATCTTTTGAGAAATTGTAGTATTGGATCTTTTTTTTGGGTTTAACTTTCCACTTAGTAGACCATCATTGTTGAAGCCGATTTTCTCAATAGGTTTGTATATTCATTGTTTCCTTTCCCTAAATTTGCATGACATAACATGTTGCTTGTTTTTTAATTCTTTTTGGTGTTTATATCTTCCATCATTGTTATTCTATTGAAATATCAGTTTCGGCTTCGGATAGTGTGCTTCCATGCTGGAAATTGCCTTTAGTAGTTTTAACTTTTAAGTGCTTTGATTCTGCACCTGTTTTTTATTGTTAGGCGAATCGAGGTCTGGGGCTTACAGCTCAAATTATCGATCATTGTAATATAATTCTCAAATTCCCTGAAGGAACTAACAGCACTTGGGTACTTCTCTAGCTGTGTTTGATTCATTTCTGCTTACATGTGATATCCCAAGTCTTAACAGCACCATTCCTTACCTATCTCTTTCATAATACAATTTATTACTTACACAGTACAATGAGCAATTCAAGATATTTGAACCACTAGAGTACAAATATGATGTTTGCGAAGCTCTTCTGCTATGGGAACAGGTTCCTAGTCATTGTTTACCATTCACCAAAAGAAATTATCTATTTGAAATGGAAATATATTAAATTAGGTCTTCTGAAATGTAGTATCGCAACATGACCACAGTGTTGACAAGAGAATATCTTGATGCAAGGCCTGATGGCTGGTTAGACTATGCAGCAAAAAGGATAGCACAATTGTACATTTCAAGTCCATCTTTCTGCAATTCCTTCATAATTTTTCCTTGAATCACGTTGTGATGCTTATTCATCCATTCTTTTATTGCAGGGGGGCTGACAAATGCTACAACCGGACTCTTTGCGAGGAACATCTCAATTTACTTTTACCTGCACAACCACCCTTTCACCCCAGGCAGTTTCGGACATGTGCTGTTGTTGGGAATTCGGGTGACCTCTTGAAAACAGAGTTTGGTCCAGAAATTGATAGTCATGATGCCGTTATAAGAGACAATGAGGCTCCTGTTAATGAGGTAGATTTGTTGGTTTTGTTGTTTTCCCCTAATAACTAATAAGTATCAATAACATTCTTTCAAGGGAGCTAAGATCTTTATTCTCTATTCATTCTTTCACTCCTTGTTTGATGGTGGATCCTTACCTTGTAATGAGATATGATCCTCCTTCCTTTCTCTATCCCAACTCCCAAGACTGTTAAGAATATTCTGTAATATGACACTTCACACTTCCACTGTTTTGTATTAACTTGTTTAAGTCAGCTAGCATTTTACACACGCTGTCTTTATACCGAAGATATATGAAACAATGTTGTAGTACCCTAATTTTGTTTGTTTTTTTACATAAATCTTGCAGAAATATGCCAAACATGTTGGTCTGAAGCGGGATTTTCGGTTGGTTGTGAGAGGTGCTGCTCGTAACATGATTACCATTCTTAATGGGTCAGGTAATTTATTGTCAATTTAATTTACAATCAGTTGCTACTTGAGAATTTTCCTTTTATTCAAACTTGCAGTATGTAGCTGTCTATAATTTCATTGTGCAATAGAAACAATAGTGCAGAATGATGGCTGAAAGCTTGAAACTTTCATATTATACCTAGTAAACATATAAATAGTTGAAGGGTATCATATAATAACACCATTTAATACTGAAAGGCATGTATAGTATTTTGTCAAGTGTTTACATTGTGAATTTATGATTGAAGAGGCCGCAGGTCAAAGTAACAGTACGTGATGTATTCATACATGATACATCTCACCCTCCCCAGAACAACTTATGAGTGGGACACACAGGGTATGCTGGTTTGGTTTAGTTATTGCTCTGAACCAATTGGCTTTTAATTAAATAACAGGTTTCACTAAAATTGTAGAATCAGATAAACTTGGACCAGGAATACTCCCTCCGTCCTAATTTGATGATCCCATTTCTTTTGGGCTCAAAGATTAAGGAAGTGGTTGGAAAGGTAAAAGTTGTGGTTGAGATTTGAGTAGAAAAAGGTGAAATGATGTGGACCACATATTTCTTTCCAAAAAGGGAAATGGTACAATCAATTTGGGACGGCCCAGAAAGGAAATACGGGATCATCAAATTGGGACGGAGGGAGTATATGTTTCGTTCAACTTGTAATTTGAGTTTTGAAGTCTCAAGAATCAACAATAATGACAACATCTTTGCCAAATCAAAGGAAAAACCAAATGAAACTGTAGTCTTGTAGTGAGCATGGTAGGGTCTCATTCTAGATCTTGGGGGGGGGGGAGACGTGAGAGAGGACAAGATATTCATGATTTATGAATTACCAGAGAAAAAGAACGAAATAAACCTGAGGTAGATCTAATCTGTGCCTGACCAAGGCAAGACATAAGAACTAATTCTTGAGAGGGAGTTACTAATCCCTTCTGAGGACCTTTTTATAGCTATTACAAGATCCCTATTCATAATAGGAAACATAATGCTAAAGGCTAATAATAAGCTAGCTGAAACTTAATAAGGAAATTTCAATATTGATACTAATCTGAAACTATAAAAATTAAAAAGACAATACATACTACTAGTCTACTCATAATAATACTAATGGTTATAGTATTGATAATGACAACAATAACAATTCTACCTCCGTCCCTTAAAGAACTTCCTACACACTTTAAGGAACTAGAACTTCCTGAAATGCCCCTTTTACTTTGGGTAAATATCACTGTAGAGTACATTGTTTGACACTGTACAAGTGTACAACCATTATTACTTGAGACTTTGAGAGTAGTATTAAATAAGGAAAGAGTGCTTTACTTAGGGATGTCCCAAAAAAGAAAATAGGAAGTTCAACAAGGGATGGGGAGTAATAATAATAAAAAGACTACAGCTACAACAACAACATCGAAGCCTTAGTCCCAAAAGATTTTGCGATCGGCTAACAGCCTAACATGAATTGATGAATCGATAAATGATATCGAAGCCAAAAGGAAAAAAAAAGATAAAAAGATAAGGTATGATAAAAAAGATGGGTTAATGCATTTGTGTGTATTCATTTGGACCACATATGCATGATGCATTGATGCATCTCAAAGACGCATCAGAGTTGAATAATTGAACAAGTGAAATCGGAAGGTAATGAATAATACACACACACACACACACACACATAAAATGATAAGATAAAAAGGATAAAAATAATATATATGTATATATATATATATATATATATATATATATATAGAATAAAAAAGATAAAAGGATAAAAGCATAAGAAATACAAAGAAGATAAAAAGGAAAAAAGATGATAAGAGATCAACTCTCAACCTCCCCGCCTTTTCTCCAAACCTCTCAACTCATCTAATAGGTGCATCACTCGGTCTTCTATGCTCATGATCAAACCACCACAATCGAAATTCTCACATCTTATCTTCCACAGATGCTACTCCCACCTTTTGTTTGTAAATAAAAAACTCCTACATGTAAATAGGACAAGACATCTTTGGTCCTTTCGCGTGGCCTAAGGGGAGACATTCCACTTCAGAAATGCATCTTCAGATTACCAACTAAAGAAAATACTACATCTTCAGAGGGCAAAGGCAAAGGGGCAAGCAGGGAGAAAGAAGGGGAGACTTTCCACTATATTATGTGTGCATTTAAAGCTAAAGATACTCATTAAAAGAACTTAGGTGATGCAACCTACTCACAGAGTCACATGAAAATAGAGAGACGTACATGAGCTGGGATTATGTTTGCTTCTGATAATACCTTTATCATTGTAAATAAGTTTATTAAATTCAACTTACCATAAAAAGAATTGGTGAAACTCTCATGAATGCATAGTCACAAAAAATTGGTCTGTAAACAATACAAACAGAACCAAGGTCATTGTATCTGAAATTCTGAACTGAATACTTGAACCTGTTAACTTACCAAGTACCAATAACCAAACTTCAAGTGATATGAAATGCGTGTAAACTATTTTGCATTTCAGTCTGGTAAAGCTTGATTCTTTACCTTTAGTGTACTTACTCTCTCAAGATGTGGTGTTCGGAGTTTCAAAATATTGACTCTAGTAACGTACTCTAATGATTCTGAAGTGGAGTAATCATGATTACATGCTAATCTAACGAGGCTTCAATTTTTTATGATTGGTAAGAATACATTATTAAGTGAACAATAGCGGAAATCTGGGCCATATTCTGTTTTTTGTTTTTGGCAGATGATGAAGTGCTTATAATCAAAAGTGTTACACACAGAGACTTCAATGCAATGATAAAGGTATTTTTTTTAGGAAAAATTGAAAATAATAATCCCAACTATTGGCGGTCCGCCGAAATAATCCCAACTATTGATTATTTTTGTATAATCCCAACTACATGGACCGTCCGCCAATAATGGTCCATGATCTAATTTAACTCCTATAAAAAGTGAATTTTAAATAGAAATTAAGCGTAAAAATTAAAAATTGGGATTATTTATAGGCATTACTTGTTATATCTCTTCTTATTCACTTTAGAAACTACAAGAATTTATTCATAGGGACCATTATTGGCGGAAGGTCCCTAAAGTTGGGTTTATTCTGGAATAATCAATAGTTGAGATTATTATAAGCGGACCGCCAATAGTTGAGATTATTATTATCAATTTTTCCTTTTTTTTACCCTGGATGTTCACTTTTCTTTATGTAGTCCTTTATGTCAACATGTATGCCAATTTGATGCTACCCACCTTTCTGGCAGCAAATACCAAATCCAGTTTACCTCTTTCAAGGAATTGTCTTGCGCAGAGGTGCAAAAGGAACTGGAATGAAGTCAATAGAACTAGCGCTTTCCATGTGTGACATTGTTGACATGTATGGTTTCACAGTTGATCCTGGGTATACAGAATGGTAAGTTCTGGAACTATTCAGTGAAAGGAAAAAAGATTGATTGTTGTAGAAGGGAGCTTGTTGTTGATTGATTTTACTTGAAAGTTATATTAATATTTGTCCAAAAGGGCCCCATTTGTTACGGGTTATCTTGCTGAAATTGTTGAATCTCCTGAAACTTCTGAAGGTAAAATTGTTTAGCAAATTCTATCTCAGCCAAAAAAGTCTAACCCCACATATTCTGCTTGTCAATAAGAATTGTTGATAAGAAGAGCACAGAAACCAAACAGGGCCTAGGTCTAACGCTTTGCATGCCCATCTTTATCATTTCGTGTTATAATGTTATATCATTTATAAATTGTAATTTTGCAATTAAAGTGTTAAGGGTTTCTGAAATTATTGTGGTCTTTGGTTTTGTATATGGCCTGTAAATGATACTCTGTTTTGCTGGCTAGGACTCGGTATTTCTCTACACCAAGGAAAGGGCACAATCCACTTCAAGGGAGGGCATACTACCAACTGTTGGAATGTCTTGGTGTAAGAATCTGTTATTATGGGCTTCGTTTACTTGTTATCAAAGGTTCTGCTTTGATCAAGTTTTTTTATTCTTTTTTTTCTTTGCATTTAAGGTTATACGGATTCACTCTCCCATGAGAGCACAAAGGAAACAAGACTGGTCCGATGTTCCTAGTAGGGTCACAATAAACCGTGCTCATAAAGCCGCTCTACGGTTGAAAAAAAGTGCAGATGGTAAAGTGGGACAGTTTGTGAACTGTAAGGTATGGGGCAACGCAGGTCCATATGGGAGCGGACAGGTTTCGGGATCTTCTGATATGACGGATGTGAGGAAGAATTCAAAATACAGTAAATGGGAAGTTTTGCCTTTCAAGAAACTGAGGGAAGAGGCAAGGAGTCATTTTTCCCAGATGGAACGTGTGTCTATGTACAAAATGGATGGTAACAAATTGGATGATCTAGTTTGCGTAAGGCATGCCCAGGAATCTGACCAGAAGGGTGGAAGATGATGATGACATGGTAATGGTTGGCCACATCAGAAACTGTCAAGTTAGTTTTCCCTAGCAGGATGAACAGATAACGCAGATCACTTCAATTTTTACCTACTAAACAGAATGAGTTTTCTACATTCCTTCGGGCCAGGAGATTCCACCTTCTGGAACATCTAGGGCCCGTTGGTGATCATATTTTTTGTCTTATCAACGTTATCACTCATTTTTTCACTACACATGTAACTTTTTATTTCGCGCGATGTATTGTATAATAATCAAATAAGCAAGGTTGTAGTTATTTTCTGGCTATTTTTCTATTTACGTAGTAACTTTTTAATTTCTTATTTTTTGTTATTTATAATTCTATAGATTCAACTAGTTCTTCAGCTATAAATTTCAACAGACTTGGTTGATTCAGTCAATATCACTGTTACCAAATGGGCTCCTCATGAAACGTCCTTTGAGTGTAAAGAACCGTAAACTAGATTGTATCCGCGTAGCTCAATTACATTTTAGTAATCACTAACCGACTTTTCTCATGTGCAACGCGGTCCGCGTTGCACATGAGAAAAGTCGGTTAGTGATTACTAAAATGTAATTGAGCTTTATATGTTCGGAGTATACCTAATAGATGATGGATAAACCGGTAAAGACCAATTGAAAAATAAATTGCAGGATAAAAATCATATAAAAATTTAACAATGCATAGTATGCAAGCATGTTGATGATCGTATAGTATTGATTAATGATCATATCATATTGTATAGGGGAGGTACAAGTGCTCATTTTTTAATCATCAAGTAGCCACTTGTATTAATTAATCAAATCATTAACCAGATGACTTACAATACAGGCTGGAGCAACATCAAACATACTCCTGTGATATGAGAGTAATACTTGTGCTCTAGCCAAAGCATGAACTAGATGATTCGCAAATAGTTTACAAAAAGAGAGTATACGTGACCATATTATTTATAAATTTATACATCTTGAAGTTGAGATTTATAATAATAAAATATTGAAGACGGGCTTTTTGAGAAGTAGAGTGATTGACATGTGAAAGAAATTGGCCATATATGTTCTCAAATGGTCATGCATTAGAAGTCATTCTTTACATCGTGTTTCTAGAAAAGAAATTAAAGTCACTGTAAGGTGAGAAGAAAACTTAGGATGAACTCACCCAAAATGATCCCCAAGATGTGAGGTTTAAGGATGTTTTCTTTTGGATTGAAATTTACTGGTCTGGTCTGGTAAACGTCTGGTCACTGTGTATTTTATAACTACAATAGTCAAGTCTGGTCTTGTCTGGTCTGGTCTGGTCTGGTCTGGTGTGGAGCTGAAAACAGTCCAAAAGAAAACATCCTAACACAACGAATATCCTAGAATAATATGCGGCTTTTAACACACTTCTCCGGTCCAAAACGGATTAAACAATTTAAAGCGTAAAAAATAGGCCATCGTGACCCAAAACAAGCTAACCAAATCGGTACTGAACAAACAAACACATACCAACATCCTAACATGAGTTATTTATCACAATTTATACCGTGCAACCGGCATACCATGTGCATGGTATGCCCGGTTCTAATACGGTGTCGTTCTTATGCAATTAAAATCGTTTCCCAAAATTTTATTCTTCCCATGCTTCCACTAATTTTTTCCACTAACTTTTCTTCCTTGCTAGCTTTCTCTCTTGTGCTGCTTTTCGTTTTGAAAATTGAAGCAAGTTCTATTGCTTTGATGTAATAGGCTGCTATGAATCAATTCAGATTAATACTTCGTATAAACTTCTCCGTTCAGATTAATCTAACATGCTTTGATCGATGAGGTTAATTGGTTTTTACGTATAAAATGGAGTTACACTCTTTAATACAAATTTACATCTTAAGTTACATGGAGTTACATCTTTTTATGAACGAGTTACATATTCAGGTGCATGAGTTACATCTTTTTATAAGCGAGTTACATTTGGACTTACCTCAACAACTTACATTTGTCATCAACACGAATTACATTTATAATAATTAGACTCTCTTTTTCATTGTTTACATTGAAATCAATGTTTTATTTCGTATACTATGTATTTGACAAGTTACATCTCATTTGGGCTTGAGTTACATTGATCAAGAACTCGAGTTACATATCTTTACACGCGAATTACATCATCCATGCTACTGGGATGAAAAAAAACATTGTACACGCGTGCACTGTTCACGCGTGTACTGTTCACGCGAATTTTTATTATTATTTAAAATTGATCAAAACTACGTCGTTTTGGAGTGTGGAGCATGGTGCTCACCATGCTCCGGTTGCACGGTATACGAACGGGTTATTTATCCATGTCATATGTATATGGATTTTTATGTTCATTCATCATTTAATAAAGTTGCGAGTTTCTTTCCTAATTTTCAAGTTTTCATTGATTTACGTTTAATTCCATAATAATAATATGCTTAATATCTTTAGAAGCTACGTACATGGCCCGGTTATAGACCGAGTAATATAATAGACATTATTATATGCTTAATATTTTAAATTATTGATATGAGACACTCAACCAATTAAGACCACTATATATGCGGATTATAGCTCATGGCTATATTCCACAAGTGACAATTTTTAGAGATATAACAAACTAATCACATTAGAGAAAATTTTCACTACTACAAGAATGAGATACTACGATTGTCACTTGTAAAGCACAATTGAGAAACCTGTAGCCTCCATGATGAGTAAGGTTAATATTAGTATGTTCATGTAAAATGATACGGAGTATGTCACTTGTTTACAATTAATTTCATTTGAAAGTCAAGAAACGACAGTTGAAGAAAATAAAAATAACAATGTTCAAGCTTTGAATTGTTTCAATAAAGATACATATCATCTGAAAAAAGGGTATAAAGGCGCCAATTTATAATTTTTCAATAAAATCAAATTTATAATTTTTTTGGTACTTTCAAGTTTCAATTCATTGTTTAACATCTACAAGCTACAAATTTAAACTTTTGACATATCCAAACCAAAATCTCTGGGAAAGACTTCACCATTTCTTTTGATTCATTACGGGTTAGAACATAAGTGTTAATCTTTTTATCTACTTCTTTAATGTAAACCTATGATTCATTGATAGTATTTTGCCAATTTTCTTTAGTCTTCTCATGTAAATGAAAAGTTAAATTCTAGTATACAGAATTTAGAAATTTGTAATTTGTTTTAATCTAATAGTGAAAGCGTGATATGAGATAGGAATACGTTACTCCATATACAAGTTTACGACATACTCCGTAACTTTCTCGAATTTCCGTAATTCAAAATTCTTGATTGCAAGTAACATTTGTACTACTTTTTCATTCAATCGGTTTAGGTACATAATATTCTCGAATGTCACTTATCAAATACTTAAGGGAAATTTATTAGAATATGACTAAAACTCAATGAGTTTCTCGATCTATGACCTACCTAGTTTTAATACCTTTGTATGACCAAAAATCCAAAAACAAATAAAAAATTCGTTTATATTTAAATGTGGAATGACAAAAATACCCTTATTTAAAATATGTGCATTTTGCACTAATTTCGTCCAATTAAAATTACCGCACTTTATATTGTCGTTAATGTACAAAATTAATGCATTACTTTACTGCACATCCGGTAATAATCACTGCACTTCCCCTAAAATTAAATCTCTTCTCATTCACTTTAGTAAATTATATTTATAGGTTTATTTTTTATTTGTTTAGTTTTAATAATTTTATTATTTTACGTCTAATTAAGTATATTGCATTTCATGTCGAAATTACTGCTCTGTGTTACTGCACTCCCGGTCATAATCAGTGCACAACAAACTTCATTAATGCATTCATTCACTGCCATGTTCAACATATGTATTATCATATTAACTGTCGTACCCAACAATATCTATTATGATGTTCAATGCGCATATTCACTGCCTCAATTTAATGCGCACAAACCCTAATTTTAGAAACTCTTAATTTCAAAAAAAAATGAGAATGAAAAACAAAAATAGAAAAGAAAAAGTAGAGCAGCGCCGCATTTCCATCCACGTATTTCAACAACCCAACCTTGGCTTTCACCACCTCTCATCCACGTATTTCCATCCAAAGAACATTATCTCTTTAAAAACGATTTCTTTCCCTTTTGAAGATGAAGACGCATATGACAACGAGAACCGACCTTGTTGAACCACCTCTCTTCCTCGGACAACCCGCATATGACACCAAGAACCGGCCTTGTTGAACCTAGTATTTGCATCGCAGGTCAAATCATTAAAATATAGGACGGCGGGCCATGGCCTGGACGGCAATCATTGCAAGCATTTGGCCAACGATCGTACTCCTGGACGGCGGCTGACGGCGGGCCACGGGGCGGCAGTGACACGGGGCGTGCGACCGCAGATGTATGGATCTATGGAGGTGTGAGAATGGAGACTAGGTTTGGAGAAAAGAGTAGGAGGTTAGGGTTTTATAGATATAACCTAAAGGCTATATTTTTCCACCTATATTATATATTTATTTAATTATTACGAATTTAATTAAATATTAATATGATTTTGGTAAAAAAAACTAGTTAAGTCGTATATTGAAAAAGTGAAGAAGTTTTAGTCATACCTAGGGTAATTATCTCAATACTTAAATATGATCTTTCTAATTGTCTCATTTATTAATTTCTTCAATGTGTTATACTCGTATTTAGATGACAAAATTGCTTAATTTTACTTATAATTTTTATAAAAGTATAACATTCACACGTTACCCTAGAGGCCTAGTATATATGTACTGTCCCGGGCCCATTAAATGTCTGGACCGGGCCTGGCGCCAAGCACAAAATATGTTATGTAAGATTTTATGGCATGTAAACCATTTGGATAATCATAATGTCTTGTCAGGGACTGGCAGACCACTCAATAGATTTCCATCACAGTCCTAATGTTGTACTCATTCCTTTCCTTAAAACTTTGACAAAATTTATTTTGTGATTGTTCCACTAACTTCGTCATTTTCTCTTTTAAGTAAAGAATTTGTGATTCCATTTAATTTTTTCTCCTCTGCACAAATCTCAACTATACAGTTTTTATTTTATTAATTCTCGTGCAAGTTAAACTTGAAAAGTTTTTAAATGACATAAAGAGTATAAACCAATAGATAAATAACTAAGTCACTTATACTATTAATGTTAAAAAGGACAATAGTATACAAAAATCTAAATATTTTAGCTATATAACCCCTTTTATCATCCTATTCTTGCACTCCTCTTTTGGCCCAAATATGCAGAACTAAATTTTCAGCTATGTAATAACCTCTACATCCTCCTATTTTTGCATACAAGAGCTTGAGAGCTGAGCCGCCTTATGGCTAGTATACAAAATAACTGTATAAGGAATGAAATTATAGACTAAAAGAAAAGGTGCGAGTAACAAACTAACAATACTTACTTCTAAGAGCCCATAATTTATCCAACCTATTTGAAATTTCATACTACATCCGTCCCAAAAAACTTTGCCAATTCCAAAAATTTGAACCTTGATTTTGATTAGTATAATATTATAGAAGCTATAAATTTCATACTTTTATGAAAGTACTTTTAACAATGAACATTTTCATATAATGTTTATATTATAAATAATTTCAATAAAAAGATATAGTCGGTCAAAGTTTTGAAAATGACAAAGTTTTTTGGACGGAGGTAGTATTTATATAAACTAACATACAATTAACCTTATTCAGTTATTCAACTAAGAAGGTTGTCTAAAATATACTCCCTCCGTTTCAATTTGTTTAACACACTTTTTTGGATGTTTCAAAATGAATGCCACACTTCCTTATTTTCTTATTTGGTAAACAATTCTTTATCAAAGCAGTACAAAACAGTGCCAAACAGTGTTCAAACAGTGTTCAAACAGTATCCAAACAGTAAAATTTATCCCTCAGTAATTTTTTCCCTTAATACTTGACAAGTCAAACTGTGTCAAACAAATCGAAACGGAGGGAGTATATATCTAAAGAGTGAATAATGAACTCTGGCTACATACATGATATCTACCTCTATATAAAAAGAGGTGGAAAAGCAGAACATTTTCCCGCCTAAAGTTCTGTTGTTAATGGGTCGGGTCATATATTAGGATCAGTTATATGTAATTGGTTCTGTTGGTTGATGGTCTGGAGCCAGGCTATCAGATTGCGTGTGAGAGGATCCTTATTTCGCAAAAATGGCCAAATAATCTTTGGGGTCAGAGGTCTTTGTTATTTTTTTGTTTAATATTGCAAGTTCACATTAAATACATTGAGCATCTTCACAACTCCAAGGAAATTGCATTGAATACGGTTGACTGTTTTTTCTACTATTGATCACAATTCAAATTACTACTTTTTAGTAGTTGGGCGTTGATCCAAAACAAGAAAATCAATTAATGCTATTGGTTCAGCCTCTTTAGAGATCGAGGAGGCATTTAATGCACAGAGCATCCTTGGTATGCTAGCACGAATTGCAAGAATCATGGAATGACTATACATTCAATTTTAGCTAAAAAGGACACAACACTTTCAAGGTAGGTGGGAAAGAGAAACAAAATAAGAAATTCATTAATGGAGCTGTGAATGACAAACATTGGGGAGAAGTGCAACGATATTTGAAAATCCTTTGGGGACTATTGGGCCTCACACTAAAATTACTTTTCAAAAATCCATTTGAACCCTTACGTGGTACTATAAATAGGACACTTTGCCAGACATCCTCACACCACTCTCAGCAACACAGAATTATTCTTATCTTCACAGTTCTTACTACCCCACAGTGTCGCTATGGCAGGAACTAAAAGTGCAGGAATGTGGTCTCTCATAAGTGAGATTGACCATACAAAGACCACTTGGGCCTTGCAGGTTCGAGTGGTTAGGATATACGAAGTAGCAGCTCATGCTAGGGGTGGGAACACACTAGAAATGGTGCTACATGATGAGGAGGTATATCCACTTCAAGTGCAATATTTTTAACCATTTTTTTCCCGATTGTTTTTGAAAACTAACTTGGAAAATCCTGTAGGGTACTCGGATTCACGCTGTGGTGAAACGTCCTCAGGTGGCTTTGTTCAGGCCACAAGTTATGGAGGACAACGTGTATGCCATGAAGAATTTCATGGTGCTGGACAATTACCAGCTGTACAAGACCACCTCTCACCTTTACATTTTGGAGTTCGTGAGCAGAACCAGGGTCGTGCATTTAGATAAGGAATTTCCAAACTTTATGTACGACCTACATCCATTTGAGATGCTGCAAGCTCAAAGGCTGCTGAATGACAAGCTTCTCATTGGTAGTATACTTTACTACACTAATTTCTTTAAGCACGAACATTTGTTGTTTTTTAACAGTTGTTCTTTACTCAGATGTAATAGGAAAGGTTGTGGGGCGCTGTGCTCCACAGACACATGTAATCAACAACCGCACTGAAAGGCTGATGGAACTTACCCTTGAGGACTCAGAGTATGAATTTTATTTCATCTATTGTGACATTAGGTGGTTATAATCTAAGTGCCTACCGTCCTAACCTATGTTTTAATTCCAGTGGGAACAGGATTGGCTGTACTCTGTGGAACAACTATATAACCGAGTTCAATGACTATGTCAACCATGCTCAAAATCAACCGATCTTTATGATTGTGCAACTGTACAGGGCTAAGCGCTACAAGGGTACCGTATTTACATTTTGACAATTATTTTCTAACAAATTTTCAATTATCTACCCATGTTTGAATTTTCAGGAAACGTCTCAGTTTCAATGTGAGTGCCCGATTTACTGTGATATGGTTCGCTATGTTACTGCTAGATTTCAATGTTCTTATGGATATGCTTTCTATAGGTTTGATGACGAAGCAGAGGAAAATGGAACACTAACGTTCATAGGTACACAGTCGCACAACAACGGTCATGATGACATCTTAGATGGAAACGTAACTCTGACCAGTGTTAGTGACTTGCTAGAAAAGACAGAGGTCAAATAATCACCTAATACTATGGTTACATCTGCTATATCTATTCTTGACAGCGGTTCGAGAACTTCTTACCTAATAACTGTGTCCTCTTTTTTTTCAGGAAGGAATATACTGGGTTTTGGCTGAAATTGTCTCTATAGACAGCTTCAGAGAATGGTGTTACTTGGGGTGTACCTCATGTAACAAAAAGGTAGTGCCTGAGGAAAACAGATTCCGCTGTGCATCATGTAACATCACGCTTGCAGAAGGTGTTTTGAGGTGAGTTCAATATTTAGGTCATGTACCTTTTGCTTATGTAAGGATTTTAGAAAGCTACTTACCATGTGTGATGATTGTTTATAACACAGGTACAAAGTCAGTATCTGTGTTATGGATGACATAGGGCATGCTTCATTTACTCTCTGGGACAGAGAATGCTCAGAAATTCTTGGAAAATCAGCAGCGAGGCTGAGGAGGGAGATAATTGAGGTAGACATTCAGTCACAAAAATGTGACTTGATATGCAAACAATGTGAACAAGATTTGCTAGATACATGTCTGGTGTTACCTAGGAGATCTGTTCGGGTTGTGTATCTTAACAGAAAGTTCTTCAATAAAGACACAATTGTGGGAATGCAGATGGGTTGGTTAAAAAGGACTTAGTTAAAATATTTTATGCTTTTAATTATGAAGTATGCCTTTAGGCTACATGAAATGTATCAGAACATTAAATGTAATGAGATTTAATGAATGATTGATTTACATGCACTATGAATGCATATTTTTGCTACTCCAGATTATAATGTACTATGAATGCATAGAGTTATACACCATGAATGCATATTTTTTCTACTGCAGTTTTTCATTTGTGTATGAAGTGCAGTATGTCTGGCTACCTTCATTTGTGGGATAATTTGTTTCAAAAATATATTTTAATGTTGTGCATAGAAGTTTAAGATGAAAAGATGATTAGGATGCACTGATAATATGATAACCTGTGGAATATGCATTTTTTTTATGGTTTTAGCCAAATAAATATGCATTTGTGACATCACAGATAGAACCTGATATAGATGATATACAGGGACGTATATCATATGACATTATATAAATGAGGAGGCTTACCAAATCAACAATAATCAACCGCAAGAGGCCTGCAGGAGAGGTACTTGACCAAGGTAATAATGCAAAGTACAGATTTATAGTGGAATATATAACCTGGAATTTTATTGAATTGATGACAAGAAAAATGTCTGGGGATAAAAGTTTGGCATTGTATCATCATATCAATGTGGTCTAAGGTAGAAAGAATGATGGCCGTGCAGCGGGCTGCCGGACCACGCAGTTCCGAAGGCCACTGATGTGGCTGGCAGGGTATCCGGCAACCCTATGTTCAGTGCCACATCATCTACTCATAGTCCCAGATAGACAATAGAAGGCTATGAAGTGGCATAAACAGCATAGCTCTAAATATTAGTTTGAGCAAATGATTAGTATTCATATACATTAATATTAATATAGTATATCCATAAATGTATGACAGCTTGATTTTAAAGAAAAATGTTGTTACAAATCACAGTATTTAAGCTGCATTAGCACAGTTTGGTTTTCAAATATAAGAAAATGTTTGCATATAGCCATGACAGATTGATTGCAAAAACTTAGTGTTGGTTAGTCAAAACAATTGATCACAGGGTTATACAGAAGACTGACAGCTTACTTTTACAAAAAAATGTTGTTTCAAATCAGTTATAGTTTCCATTTTAAACATGTACTAAATGTAAGGTATTACAGCATAGTTTGAAAACCCAATATTGTGTGAAACCTATATTTTTTAAAAATATTGATCTTAAAGAGTTGCACCAAAAGTAAGGATTAAAATAAGTATATAGATGTTACATTATATGTATGAGAAGTGATTTGTAAAAGCCAAGCATTAAATGGATCAACCCAGGATTAATCATATGGTTTGAAAAATTAAAAACAAACAAACTTTGAAACAAATACTAATTAAGTATTAAAAACAGTGTGCTAACAGCAGTATTAAATGCTGTGAATATAGACGTTCATATATATATGTAGGTCTGCTTAGTTTTGTTTTGAACAAGTACTTCTTCATATTAAAAAACAGAATCACTTAGGAATTATTTGAGTTTTCAGATATATGAAGCACAGTTTGAATATTAGATTTAATTTAAAAAATGATTTAAACTGTTACAAAAATAAGTAGTAACATAGGTATATGGACGTCAGAATTTACGAAGGACACGTAGGTATATTAGTGTTGACTTATAAAAATAGTTTAATCATAAGGTTTTATTTCAAATCACTACTACATTTCATATTGAAAAATAGGATAACTTCGGAATATATTAATTTAGGTATTTGATTCATATATACGTAGTACGACATACAATTGTGGCCATGGATAGGATAGTAGAGTGCCGTAGATGTAAATACAGGGCCAACATCAGATTATAAAAAATCATGGATCGATGCAGATGTAAATCCCGTAGGTGTATAAATGTGTGCGAATTAAAAAGTCATGGATCTATGCAGATCTGAATCCTAAAAAATGTTAGGTCTCGGAGATTCAGACACTCACCAACCCCATATCCATAGATCTATAAAGATCTGTTCAGGCTCTACATGCAGTGAAAGTTTTTTCAAAAACATTACCAGATTTATTTTGAAAAAACAGTGTAGAAACGCCGAATAATTGAATGTGTTAAGGAATTTTTATATAGAAAACCATATACAGAAAATCAAATATATAATGAACCCGTATGTTTAAATCGAATAAATTCAGAAATATACCGACAACTCAATCGGAATGGACGGCAATCGTTCGGATTGTATCAGATGGAAACACAGACCATCCATCGTTCGGATTGCATGTCGCAGTACAGAAGAGTGAGAGTGAGAAGAGTATGAATGGTGGCGTTTAGAGGGGGAGTTTTAGAGGGGAAGATGAATGTTGCATTGAAGATGGTAGGTTGCTATCGCAGAGGAGGTTGAGGCGTGGAATGGTCTGGAGGATAATAGGTGGTTTGCTGGATAATGGGGTGAAACTCGGGTATTTATATTTAGGGTTGGCTGGGGTTGGTCTGGGTAGGTTAAGGATAACGGGTTGGGCTGGGTAAGTTTAATTGGGCCGGATAGGATTGCAGCTGGCTGAAAGGTTTTATTTTAATGGGATTATAATCTGGATCGGAAATTTCAGCTATTTGGGTCTGAAATTAAATGGATGTTACATACTTTTGTACGTATTCAATGGTTTGGTTAGATTTATTTGGGCCATAAAAATAGTTCAATGTGAATGAATAAATACTTTTGTTTTTATAGTATTAAAATAGATCTAAAAACATTTTTTTATGTAATTGAAGTCAACGTAAAAATTTGTTGGTCCGCGACGTAGGCACCATAATCATTTCAAACTATTATAGTATATGATATTTATAAATTTCTACTTGGTTCGTTCATAAATAATTTGACATCTCATACATTTTTGTGAGTCAAAAATGTATATATTTATTTTAAAAGGTTTTAAATACTCACCAAATAATTTGAACAAATTCATTTATTTCAAACCTTCACATTAAATATTGTAGGTTTAGAAAAATATTCATATAATGTTATTATGAACTTCTTTTGTATGTTTCCATTTTTTACAGAAAATGTTGGTCAAAATGTTAACAAAAATCCTAAGCCTCATCGCGATAGCTCATCTAATGTTTTGGTCGACAAAACAAATGGTACTTCTCACTCTAAAATTACTTTCTAACCATTTTGATAATGTTAATATATATTTAAATTTTGATATCTTTGAATTTTTGTTCCAACATTATATAGTTTGTTACTTGCCATTTGATTATTCAAGCGGTATGAGGGTGATGAATGTCAATCGTGAAGAACAACTATCAAATATGCAATGTGTACTTCCATTGCAATCAGATCACGTTGAAGGTGCACGTTGTTATGATTTTGTACATCCCAAGTTTAACATTTGTTAAGAACACCACTTTTCTCTTATTCGTTAGTATTAATTAATGTTGCTTTGAATGTCTTTTTCTAGACACAATCAGTGTCGAGTATTGTGATATCGGCGACCCATCACATAATTGTGCCAAATGTGGAGCGCTGTTTTGGTTTGAGGAAAGGACACTTCGAAGTTCTACAAAAACAAGCCCTAAGTACTCTCTTTGTTGCAAGAAAGGTAACATTACTTTGCCGAAACTTAAGAACCCCCCATCTGAATTGGATGATTTGATTAATGGGACCGATCGTAGATGTAAACACTTCCAAGAGAATATCAAATCATATAATAGTATGTTTTCGTTTACATCCATGGGTGGGAGGGTAGATCGGACGATTAATAAGGGTGGAGGACCACCTATTTTTAAACTCAGTGGTCAGAATTATCATCTAATGGGATCTCTGCTACCACAAGAAGGAAGTGTGCCAAAATTTGCCCAGTTATATATATATATGATACGCAAAATGAAGATATGAACCGCTTGAGTTCTGTTACGGAAGATACGAAAAAAAACAAATTGCACGCAGAGATCGTATCTACTTTAAGGGGAATGTTAGATGAGCATAACGTTTTGGTGAAGTCTTTTAGGATGGTTAGAGACAATGTCACGCCCCAGACCGCAATCCAAGCGCGTGTACAACCGCCGTATAATCAAGTGACGTCACCCGCGAGTCAACCTCACTTGATTACACAAGGCGTTCGAGAAAAATAATCCATCCATACTCAGTAGTAAACATACATAACAACATCACATTTAAACCAATGAATAGCGGAAATATTCAACGGTAAGTCATAAGCCACAACCGGCCAATAACATGGGCATGCAAGCCCCAAAAGAATAGTTTATAACAGATAAAAATATCCATGAGCAATGTTTGGAAATTTGAAATAAAATGAGGAAGCACGAACCACGTCTTCCTTGATTTGATGTCACCCGTAAAAAGGTGCAGGTAGCAAGCCCTAGCTTCAACCTGAAAATGGTGGGGCCCCCCGAAGGGGTCAGTACAAGTACCGAGCGAGTAGCAGGCTAAATATAGAATAACTAGCGTTTCAAGTATAAGACCCAAACATAGGATGATACATATACGTATAGTCCTTCCCCCAAGTTTGAAATACATATTAGTATACATACACTTGGAAATACCCGACCCGTAGGTCATTGTTTATTTGGGAAAATAATAATAGCCAATGTCCTTGACTTAAATCCCAACCCACCCATATACCTATGAGTGTATAGAACTCCTCCCTGTTCAAATAAATTATCATAAGGACACCGCCCGGTCCTAGATCATTAAATGTAATCTATGAGTTTTGAGGATACACGCCCGATCCTTGGGTACTCCACCCTATAACCGAGTTTTGAGGATACCGCCCGATCCTTGGGTACTCCACCCTATATAACCGAGTTTTGAGGATACCGCCCGATCCTTGGGTACTCCACCCTATATAACCGAGTTTTGAGGATAACCGCCCGATCCTTGGGTACTCCACCCGACCTATGACTTACCACATATCACGCTAGATAGGGTCTATATCATATTTAGTCATTCATAACTAATTCACTACATAAGGCTTATGCATCATAATCCATGCAAATCCATGCAACCATATAAATGTATAATTAACTAACATCAACCGATATTAATTAATCCATTAACCATCGGTCAACGTTGTTGTCGACCGCCATCTCAAATCTTACACTTATTAACTAATTCATCATATAATTAAGTTAATAATATCCATTTGTGCTTCTTTTACTCTTAAAGCAAATATGCATATATATATATATATAA